TCCCTGTGGCTGTCCTGATCTCTCCAAGGCTTGCCCACCTGGTCTTGATTCAATCACTCACTCGCAGCCTCAGTGCCAGTACGTATGGTTGGGCTCTTCCTTCTCTCCTCTGTCTTTTCATCCCCTACTCATTCTTCAAGTAGAGCCAAATGCTCTACTCACTTAAATATCACCACCTCTGTGACGTCTTCCCTGTCTGTCCCTGAAGTGGCTGGGTTTCCCATGAACTCGAGTTTCCCTATGGTACCACAGTGATTCCTCTGGGTGTCCCTGCCTGTCTTCACTATGAGGGGACATGCCGACTCCTCTGTGGCCTCCCCTCCCCACCTCCTACCCCCATCCCCAGGGCTGAGTAAATGAGTAAATGACACAGAATAAATGATCAGGACACAGTCATCACGGGAATATTAGATGTCTGCTGTGACCGTAGCTCCATGATGGAGATGCGGGGATGAGTAAGACCCAGGGCATCACCTCAGAGGGCTTGCAGTCAGGGGCCTGGGGTATCAGGTGCTGTGTTGTTTGAGTTCTTCAGAGGCAGAACCTAAGGCAAAGGCTTGCGGGCAGGTCGTTTACTTCAGGTGATTCTAGCAAGCTGGAGTGGAACAGGGGAGGGTGAGACAGGGAGGGAGGGAATGGGGAGATTACAAAAATGTGCCCAATTTTCCACTCTTCCCCTAAAAAGAAAGATTCCCCCCCCACCCCGCCCACATCCTGAATCTGGGCTTGGCCATGTGATTTGCTTTGGCTAATGGAGATAGTTGTTGTGTTGGTCTGGGCCTTCCAGGAAGCAGATGACAACAAATGTCTATTATTTAAGCTGCCCAGTCAATGGTCCTTTGTTACAGCAGCCACGGCAAACTAATACAGTCAGTCATACCCCCTGTGGCTGGAGGTCTGCACGGCCCGTTCTCATGGTGCCGTATGAGCTGAAGCGACACACACAAAGGTTTGGGAGGTGGCTCTTCACTGGGATTTGCTTGCTTTCTGCTTTGGAAACCCTGCTTCTGCCACGTAAGTAAGACACAAGGCTCAGTTTCCCCTGGTACTCCCACTGACAGCCGGTCCACCACCTGGCACCCGAGACCATCCTAGACTGACATCTCTTGGCCAGTCCGCCATCTGACCACAGACGCATAAGCAAGTTCAGCCAAGATCAGCCTAACTCAGCCCAGAAGAGCCTCCCACTGACCCACAGACTCAAGAGCTAAATAAAACTCTGGTGTGGCTTTTTACAGATACAGTTGTAGCAAATCGAGAATAGCTTTACCCTAACAGAGATAAAAGCAGTTGAGGGTGTGCTATCGAACTGGTTTATCAATGTGGGTTCAACCCCACTGGAGACACTCCAGGCAGCTGTGTAGGTTATATGTCAATGCTGTGACTCCGGATGGCAAGAGGCTGTGGGAGGTACTCAGTGGTTCTCATCCCTCGTAGCCGAGAGCTGCCCCCGTGGGCTTTAACTCTGATGGATTTCTAGGCCATGGGGCCCAGCCAGTGGCCATCATTTCAGAGAAAGCCCTGAGGTAGAGAAGTTCAGAGGCCAGACAGCCCTTAAGACGAGAGGCCATCAGTGTTCTTGGGGACTATCCTTCCCTGCAGGGGCCGAGGTCAGCGGTGGGCCGAGAGAAGGTGGGTGAGCACAGAGGGCTTCTGCTGCAGATGGGGTCTGGGTTACGACAGGCCCAGAGCAATGATAGAAATGTGGCATGCATGAGGGAGACCAGACCACCTTAGGGAGCGGATCTGGGAGAGCTGTGCGGACCGCTGACTGTGACGCAGTATGATGGACATTCTTACTCTAACCAGGGGGATGACTTTGATGTTGAAGATCTCAAGCAAAGGCAGGGGGCAGACGCGGACTCCCAGCAGCCTGCCTGGGAAGCTGGAACTGCTGCCTGGAGGAGGCTG